GTAATTACAAGCATCAACGGTAAAAAATTTTGACTTCCGTGCGTTGACGTCACACCTGACAGAATCCAACGGGCGTTTGCCACGTGGCGCGACAGGGACTCTCGGATGGCTTTTTTTCCAGAAATCCGACGGTCCTCGTTTTTTTGGCTAAAAAAATTGCATAAACAAATAAAAAAAATTCTGAATTTTTTTTTAAAAAATACCCAAAAATTCTGTATTTTTTCTCTATAAATACCTAACCATTTTATTGTCTTTCCACACTAAATTTTCATACAATTTCTTCTCCATCCAATATTTTTTACTCTCCACTCACATTATTCACTTTCCACACCAATTCTCCATACAAACTTTTCTCCTTCCAATATTTTTTTATCTCCACTCACATTTTTCACTTCCACACCAATTCTCCATACAAACTCTTCTCCTTCCAATATTTTTTACTCTCCACTCACATTTTTCTACTGCTTTCCATTTGTATAAAAAAACGAATGGCATCTTCTGTCGAAGTCGGAGGCTCGTAGTCAACGAATGAAGATATTGCGTTGTGTCAATCTTGGATGAACATTAGTCATGACCCTATCACGGGCAATGAGATGAAGTTTCATCACATGTGGAGCAAAATTCATGGAGAATTTTGTCAAAGATCGGGTTCTATTCGGACCGAAATGGCCTTATCTAGTAGATGGAAACTTTTGAATAAAAAGTTAGGGAAATAGAGAAATGTCTTGACAAAAGCAAAGGCGAACATTCAAAGCGGTCAAAATTTGACCGATGAGGTAAAAATTTTATAATTGCCATTTTAATCAATTCAATGTCACTTTTTTTAGAGGATGAAAATTTTATCTAAAATCTGAGATTATAATTTTTTTTAAAATATCTGAAAATCGTATCTGACATGGGACGAGTGGCACAATTTTAGAGGGTGAAAATCTTATCCGAAAATTTAATTACAAAATATTATCAAAATTAATGGTTTAAAGTATTAAAAAAATAAGAAATAAAGTACAATGAATAGTAATAGCCTTAGACTTGCCCTAGACTTTGCCCTCATGGGTGGAACCACAAATGCAAAAGCTGACACTATTCACGTGAATAGTAACAGCCCTTGCTTGCCCTTGCCTTAGACTTAGCCCTTGTGGTGGAGATACTCTAAAAGAGAACATTGTTCGTCATAGGTACGCATGGCTATTCGTAGTCTTGAATATATTTGTTTAATAGAATATGCATATTATTTTTCCATTGTCCAAGTTCTGAGCTAATTTCAAAGTCAAACTAATATCAAGCATGCAATCCCATGCGCATGAGGCACCCATTTTTGAATGACAAAAATAAACAAAGAGTTAATTGTGAGATGTTGAAGGAGACAATTTTCTAATTCGCAATACTAATAATTAATAAAAATAAATAAGGCCAAGAATTCAGAATTGACTTTGTTGGATGGCATTAACCCATTTATCCAACCTGCAATTGTTTTAAATAATAAATATATTTGTTTTTTCCAACTGAGTTTTTAGATAATAATATTCTGCAACTACATTATAATTATTCATTTATATTATTTTAAATTGTGTGGACTCAATAGGCCCTGTTGTCGTCACGGACGATGGAGAACTAATAAGAAATGCAGATCTTGCAGTTTTTCCCCTTTGAGTCAACCCTCAACATGCCAGAATAAGGATATTCCCTCAGCTCCGAGCATCTCATGGTGGATCACATAAAAGCCAATAAATTAGCAAATTAGCATTAACCTGATTCGAGTGGTTAAAAGTAATTATCTACAAAGTTATGGTAATTATCTATGTGTCCGAAATTACAATCAAATTCATTGTTATGACATATATACAATCGT